GAGATCAAAGGAGAGTTTCTTGATTTTTGTTTTTTTTTCCCCTAAATAGGAAATTCTAGAATATTATTTCCGAAATATGGTCTCTGGATCAACATGAGAGCCTATTATTAGAATCTCATTTTATTGTTTTTTTTTTTTTAATATGACTGTTTAGCTTGTATTTTGTATGTGTGTTAACTTTGGCAGTTGGAAGTTAGAAGAGGGTTAGGATCCCTGGAACTGGGATTATGGCCTCCATGTGGGTGTTGGGAAGCAAACCCAGGTCCTCTGCAAGAACAAGTGTTTTTAACTGCTAATCGATCTTTACTGTCCCTAGAATCTCATTTTAATGAGATTTTAGTGAGACTCTTTAGCTGTCCTGTATTACATTATTTTTCTGTTCTAAGAGCATGACTTCTCAAATTATTTGTGAATTGAGACAAATTTATTTATTTTTTTTCTAGTTTGCCAGAGACCACCACATGGTGTCATGCATGCTGGGTACATGCTCACTCCATGTGCCCTTGGTGAGTTCATTAGCATCCTTTTGGCTGGACCCTGTTTGAGATGAATCCACTAGTCATGGATTTGGATGTTGGAGCAATTGCCAATTTGTCGCACAGATTAAATGCTAATTCTCACATCCTTTGGTTCTATTGACAAGACCAGTGTTGGGTTGTGCAGGTCACTCCTTCTAATGCATGTTGTATGCTGATGGTTGCTGTGAGGAAAGTAATGGTGTGAGAAGAGTGTGAGGGTAATGTATATACAAACAAGAAAGGGGACTGGATCCGTTGTAACTAGGGGGAACAGAATGGTATATTAGATTTGGGGGCAGGAAAATAAGGGTCTGGGTATTGCTTCTTGGTGACAGTGTTATCAGCTGATGGCATTGGAGGTTTATTGAGAGACAGCAAAGGTATGAAAGTGATTTTGAGTAATAAAAATCAGCTTACTAGGTAAGCATGGCATAGTTGCTGGCAGTATGGAGATTTGTGTTGGAAGTTTGTGGTGATACATTTAAAATGACACTGGTGCATGGTTCCAGTGGTTCTCTGGCATCTAGCTGCTTTTGTGTAGACCTAGAGAGGTTTGAGGTTTTGGAGGGCAAGTAGATTAAACGTCTACCAGGTACTGGTTATGAGGGAAGCAACAAGAAGAACTGGTGGGTACAGTTACTTAACCTTTTTCTCTTTTATGAGTGATAATTGATGGGTGATGATGGTACACACCTTTAATCCCAGGGGCAGAGGCAGGAGGATCATTGTGAGTTTGAGGTCAGCCTGGTTTACAGAGTAAGTTTGAGGATAGGTGTGTGTGTGTGTGTGTGTGTGTGTGTGTGTGTGATAATAGTGTCTGTCACATAGAGTGGTTGTAAGGATTGAATTGACTGATACAAAGTGCTTATAACAAATGGTTACCAGAGCCTGAAGAGGTGGCTCAGCACTCGTCAATTCCAGAGCAAAGAGTTCAATTTCCAGCTCTCACATGGAAGCTCATGAACCATCTCTCTTAGAATCACCCTTCCTCTCATCATCCATATTGAAGTCAAAGTGATCTTTTCAGAGCATATATGTCTTACCTTTATTTAATACTTAAGGGACTTCCTGTAACTCTTCAGATACAGATGCAAACTGATGTTTCTCCTCCAAAGTTTGCATGTGTGTGTGTGGTGTGGCTCCATACACACCTGTGCAGCTTTGTCTATGCTTCTTCTTTTGGAATGTGAGGGTTGTGTAAGATCTCATTCTGTAGCCCAGAGCTGGTTTAGAACTTATTATGTAGTTTAGGCTAGCTTTGAACTCTGTAACATTTTTCCTGCATTAGCCTCAGAAGTGTTGGGATTATAGGCCAGGCTGCTTCCTCCTTGTTCTTTATCCTTCCACTTGGAACACTTGGAACAGTCACATTAGGGGATACCTGTTAGGTACCTGAAGTGACATGTTTTTCTTTCTTTTTCTTCTTCCTTCCTTCCTCTCTCCCCCCCCCCCCGCCCCTTGAGACAGGGTTTCTCTGTGTAGCCCTGACTGTCCTGGAACTCAGAAAGATCCACCTGCCTCTGCCTCCTGAATGCTGGCACGTGCCACCACTACCCAGCAGTAATTTTTATCCAGTCATAGTGCATATGATTTATATACGTTAAGATTCTTTTTTGTTGTTTTGTTTCAGTCTGTTTCTATTCACTGTTCGTCCTGGGTACAGACCTCAGAGCTCCATGAACTATAGGAAATTAGTTGCTATTTGAATGACTAAACAAATGAATGCAGTAACTGCTCATCAGCTACCTGGGTCTGTGAGTTTTGAACTTTGGAACAGGACTGTCTTTGGTATGCCTTCTGCAATTTAGGATTTGTTCTTCCATGCATGCCTAAAGATGTCCTGAGCTCCAGCATGCAGTGACTTCAATGTGTGAAGTTAGCTGCTTCACCAGCTTTTATACCACATTTGCATAAGCACATAAACCCATGCACATACATATATACACCAAACACAAGAAAAAATAATTCTTACAATTAATCTAAACTCAGGTTGGCTGCTTCACTAGCTTTAGTGACTCTGGAGTGATTCTCACCAAGCATGTGACAACAAGAGGCCTTAGGCTTACCTGTCCTATTGTGTATTGGCTTTTTGGTGTAGACAATACACATTCAAGTGTCTCAGCTTTATTTGCTAACAGTTGTGTCTGCTGCGTTAGCAATTACAGGGGATCAAACTCAACTGCCCATGTTTCCCAGTGTTCCATGGAGCTACTTTGGACATTGTTTTAAGTTTTTCCTGCCCTTTTATTTTCCACCTTCATACTTTCTACTTTGCCTTTATCTGGGTAACTAACTCCCAGAGGTTAATGACTAGATGAAGGTGACCTGGTCCAATAAAATTTTGGGTGATAGTTTGTGATCTCAAGTCATTGAGTATTCCATTATCAGTTTTTCTCACAACAGAAAATAATTTGTACATTCTGGTGAAGAGTCTGATGGTGGTGGCTTTTCTGGAAGCCACAGATAACATAGACTTACTTCAGATTTTGAATTCTGCTTTGTGGTTCTTACCAACTCCCACTGTTTTCTCTGTTCTGTTCTGGTTTTTTTTTGGGGGGGGGGTTAGATTTATTTACTTTTTTGGAGGGTGGTGGTGGTTTCGAGGGTTTCTTTGTATAGCCTTGACTGTCCTGGAATTATCTCTGTAGACCAGGCTGGCCTCAACTCATAGCGATCTACTTACCTGCCTTCCAAGTACTGGGATTAAAGGTGTGAGCCACCCTTGCCTGGTGATTAATTTTTTAAATTGTTTTCCCCCATGTATAGTGTATATGTTCATTGGTATGAGTGTTTATGCAGAAGAAGTACATGTGTGCATGTTTGTATGTGTATAAGGCAGAGGTTATTTCAAGTATCTTCTATACCTTGTTTTTGAGATAGTGTATCTCACTGAACTGGAACTCTGATTCAGAGGTTGACTTACTAGCAGCAACCTGGGGTAACAGATGTATATCACCACACCAGGGTTTTGCATATAGGTGCTGGAGATTGATAAGATACCAAAGATAACAATGAACTCAGACCCTAGTGTTTGTGTAACGACTTTACCCACTGAACCACCTCCCCAGTTCTCCATTCTGCTTTTATCTGTTGAGTGAATTTTAAAAAGTTAGATACTATATTTCTGTTCTTAAGTTCCCCCTTTTTAAAGAACATCTAATTTCTCTCTCAAAATTTACCATTTTTCTTTAGTTTTGAGCATTTCTTTTACTTCATTAAATTTGTATTTTCTGTCTTTGGTAATTTCATCATGAATCCATCTTTGTGTTGCATTCTCTTGATTGCCTTTTAATTACTAGGTTTCATTTTCCTAATTCTTTACATAATTTGGGGTTATATCATATATTTAGGTGCAAGAGTATTTTCAGTTGATATTTTTAATTTTAGCACAGTTCTGATGCCCTCTTGCCTCTCTGGGCCAAGATGATGCTGAGATTCAAAACTGAGCTTCATGCGTGCTAGGCAAGTATTCTACCTTGAGCTACACCCCTTAGCCCACTCTTCAGGTTTTTTTGTTTTTGTTTTTTTTTTGTTTTGTTTTGTTTTGTTTTGTTTTGTTGTTTTAAAGCTTCCAGGTATTCCTTTTACTGTCATCTTTTAAGTTATTAAACAGAACTTTAATTCTGTACTAGATGTCTAAGAGAATAGAGGCAGTTAGTTGGTTTTGTGCTATGCATAAATATGTTCAAAAGCTTAGGTTAGCACTGACCTATAAACCACCTTCATTCTTCAAGACCAGGATAGATAGGAAGATTTGACCCAAGTTCTCTACCTCCCATAACTTTTCTCTAATCTCTGGTTTCAGATTGATTGGCTCTTCAGCTTTCTTTTAGGAAGATAGGGAGTGATTTGTATTAACTCCACTTTTAGCTCTAATTGGATGGTTCAGAGCCAATACAATCAATAAAATGAGAGTTAGTGTTGTGAAGTGGCTTGCTGTTTCCCCACTCCCAGATAAGCTTGAGTTGGTCTTCACTGTATTTATTGAGTAAGCTATAAGACTTCGGACAAATCACTTGACTTCTTGAGATTTAGATTATCTATCAGTAGGTGACATTATCACATATAGAAAAATACTGCCTAGGATTTAGTTAGTTTTCTATTTGTCCTCCAAAACATTTTATTTCTAGTGTAATTCCAGCTTTACCCCTAAGTCATTATATGACTCACCTTTTCCAAACTCTGTCATTTAGATGATTTCTGAGGTGCTTCCTGGCTACAAGATGTCATAAATATTTAGAATATTAGGAAACATTATTAATTTAAGACAATCTGGATTGGGAATCATATGATCTGATAGAAGGGGAAGTGGCATGGAGCCTAGTTCCTCTTCAGAGATATAGGTAGCTTCCTTCACAGCCAAGTATCGATATAGCTCTTACTTTGCCTCTTTTCTGATGCTGGACTGTATATGAAGGTCTTCGAGTCAGTTCAGCCATGTTGTGACTTATGCTTTATATATCTCTTTTATATCCTCTCTAGGTCAAGAGGCAGCTACCAGTGAAGGATAGTGACTGTTTCCAAGACATTAGGCAGTGGGGAGGGCAACGAGAAGTCACCACAGAAATTCCCACTACCTAAATGGTAAGTATATTATATAGTGATATCTGGCAAGCCAATAGAATTGGGTGGTTTTTGGCCTTTACAATTTTCCACCCCAGCAAGTGAAGGGAGAACAGTGTTGGTTGATGCCTTGTATGAACTATACATCAGAGACTAAGCATTTTACATGTTTTCTCTTTGAATTAAGCCTACCAACTTGATAGGGTTTAGTCTACTTTTGAAGCTAAAATCTTTCTTCCTTAACACCTATTCTAGGGGGCTGGAGAGATGTCTCAGTGGTTAAGAGTACTGGCTGGTCTTTCAGAGGACCTGGGTTTAATTCCCACACCTACATGACAGCTCACAACTGTCTATAACTCCCATTCCAGGGCATCCTTACACATACATGCACATAAAATAAAAATAAATCTTAAACAAACAAAAAATACCCATTCTGTGAGGTTAATGTAAGAAAGTGAGTTGAGAGGCCAAATAACTTCTCCAAGTTCACACAGGCAGCAAATGATAGAGTTAAGTTTTCAAACTAGGTCTTTTTCATCATATCACATTACTCTTTTGAGAAAGTTACTTTCTCAGTTGAGATGGTAGCTGATTTACCTTTAAGAAGCACACCAAAACAAACAGATTAAAGAAACTTGGACTAACAGCCAATTCCTTTTTGCTCTCTCTGGGTTTGTTGAGCCAGTCTTTATTGGCTGTACTCATGAAGGCTATGGAGAACGCCAACGAACTAGGATTGAGGGGTCAGAACACGAGCAGGAGTGAGTTAAGGGACCAAGTGGTCTTGGTCATTGCTGGCATGATAGGGATAGAGAAAGGTCTGGAGTAACCTATCTCAGTAATATTTCTCTTGTCAACCCACTCATGAAAAAGACATAAGGACAAAGAGGAACTCTTCATGAGGTATTAGATGACATATAAATAGGTTCTTTACCTTGTGGATCTTACATGCTGGTGGGAGAGTCAGACAATATTAGGTTTACACATAATGTGGCTAAACATTCGAGGCTGAAAAGTCGTGTCTTAGAGCTATTAAGAAATGGAATTAATTGTCTGGTGGGAAAGTATATGTCCTTGTCATTAGAAGTACTTAGACAAGAGTTGGATGATGCATTGAATTCTTTCCATTTGAAGAACTTCTAAATGCTACTTGGGTGTTAACTCTGAGGTTTGCGAGTCTAAAATGCATGAATTTATGATTCTGGGGGAATAAAAACCACTGAAATCAAATAATGAAATAGATACACTCAGGAAGTGGTAGCAAGACACTTGTTAGAAGGCATAAGGCTTTAAGACTGGTTACTAGGAGTGGTCCAGAGAAGACCGTTTAAAAAAACACCACTTTGATTTTCCTGTGGATCAGGAGATGCTAAACTCTGGGCTTCAGGCCCCTTTGCCCGATTTTATAAATAAAATTTAGTTGAAATATGGCTATGTTTATTCTCTTATATCTGACATGACTGCTTCACACCACAAAATAGAGTTGTTGGGTCAGACACCTTTGGTCCCACAAAACGTAAAGTATTTCCAACCCTTCCAACCTGAGTCTGTAGTTATGTGTCAAACTGCAAAGACATTTGCCGACCCCTGTATTAAATGACTATTGGGAACAGGAAATGAATCACAGCAACTATGTTGGGAGAAGGGGGAGGGCACGATTTATTATGTTCTATTTCAGACTTTCCTGCCAGGACAGGAAGAAGTCAGTTTCTAGATGGGGCTACTTAGAAGTAGGTTTAAGGGGCTGAGTATGTAGCTTAGCTGGTAGAGTACTTGTTAGTACCATCAGCACTACATAAATGAGGTGTGATGGCACATACCTGTTCTTGTACTTGGGAATTGGCGGCAGACAGATAAGAAGTTCTAGATCATTCTTGGTTACATAGAAAGTTCAAGGCCAGCCTGAGATACAAGAGGCCTTAGTTTGTTTGTTATTGTTTTTAAATGTTTGGCAGAAATGAGCTACTAAATGAAAGATAATTTTAATATTAATTGGAACTGAGGTAGATAATGATGTGGGAGACATTGACTTTAAGAAATGGGACTGGTCTTTAGAGATGGCTCAGTAGTTAAGAGCACTGAATGCTCTTCCAAAGGACCTGGGTTCAGTTCCCAGCACCCACATGACAGTACTCCAGTTCCAGGGCATCTGGCATCCTCATTCAGGCAAAACCCCAATGTACATAAAAAAAATAAAGAAATCTTAAAAAGAGAGAGATGGTACTGACTGGGTGGTGCATGCCTGTGAGTGACTCCAATACATGGAACATTATAAATTTGAGGCTAATGTGGGCTACATGCTAAGTTCCAGGACTACGTGGGCTTTAGGATGACACTTGGTTGAAACAAAATGCAAATAAGTGGGACTAGTCATTGTAAGGTGTACGGTTTTTCCTCCCGCCGCCTGGTCTTGTCCCGCCGCCGTGCCAGCCCCAAATAATACAGAGACTACAATTCTGTTGGCCTGGTTACTTGTTTCTTATTATGGGCTAGCTCTGCCTTAATTATTAACCCATTTCTGTGTATTTCCACGTGGTCTTACCGAGAGCAGAGGAATGGCGGTTCTCTTCTCTCCAGGCTCTCCATCCTGCCTCCTCTCCTACTTTCCCTTTCTTCCTCATCTCCTCGTCCCGCCTACCTAACTTTCCTATTGGCCAACAGTGCTTTATTCATTAACCAGTATGAGAAACATATACAGAATGACATCTCCCATCAAGTCATCCTTCCCTTTATTTTTCTGTGACTCCCCCCACCCCCAAGGTTTAGCATGAACAAGTTCTGTCCCAGGTGCCGCTCTCAGGTATAGTTAGTTGCTACTTCTGATCCCCAGGGTGTACGTCTGGTTAGTCAAGTGTGCTGAAGAAGAAAAACAGTGTAAGAAGATAGGGATGGTGGGTCATAAGATGATCAAGGAAAAGCTACTGCTGCTTTGCTTCCTCTCTCCCCTCTTTCCTTCCTTTGTTTCTTCATGTTGAGCTCACTATGAGCCCTTGATCTTCCTGCATGCTGGGATCACAGGCCAGTACCATTATGCCTGATAGAGAAGGCTTTATTTTTAAACCATTGTTTTACTTTTGACTAGATCTGACTTCTTAAAGATAAGGGGAAACTTTTAATGTATTTTAGCACTTCACAAAAGACTGGGTATATCAAGTGTTTCATAAATATTTAGTAAATAACTAAATTCTCCCCAGGGAACAGGCAAACATTAGAAAGAGAAGAATCTACCCTCTTCTCCGCTGGAAATAGCAGCCCCACCCCCAACCCCCTCCAGATAAGAAATGTGTATTTAGCTGCATGGTGATGCATGCCTTTAATCCCAGCATTCCTGAGGCAGAGGCAGACGGATTCCTGTGAGTTTAAGGACAGCCTGGTCTACAGAGTGAGTTCCAGGACAACCAGGGCTACACAGAGAAACCCTGTCCCAAAAACCAAAACCAAAAAGAAAAGAAAAAGAAGTGTTTATTGGAGGTTTTAAAACCCTATTCTAAGGAGTGGAGGAAGATCCAGAAATATTTTATGTTCTTACCTGGCCCAGTAGTGATATTTGTGCACACTGTAAGGAATGGTTTCAGCAGTTTGGCCCTGTTTCCAAGGAACAGACCCACAGATTAGAAGGGTAAGTATGGTGCTGGGACACTAAGCAAGTGGCACAGAGCTTGGGTGTGATCTTTTAGAACATTACCCCAGGACCTGATACTCTGTTCCATGTGGATCCACTCTTGCCAGCTATTTCCTCCTTTATAATCCATGAACAGTTCCTTGGCATTAGTTAATGTTTTCTGTTAATAGCCAGTGTCTGGCTAGCCATTGAATCATTCAGCCACTCAGACTCACCAAGTTTAAGCATTTATTGTGTACCAGGCTCCCTGCTGGGTACTGAGAATTAAGAATACAAATAAGAAAGATATAGGGAGAGATAGACTGAGTAAACAGAAGTTCATACAGTGTGATAAAATTTGGTTACTTTTCCTGTTTCCATGATAAAATATCCTGACAAAAATGTTAAGGGAGAGATAATTGGTCTGGCTTACACTTTGAAGGTGCCATCATCCATCATGGAAGTCAAGGTAGCAGGAGTGTGAGGAGGCTGCTCATTGAACCTACAGACCTGTTTCCTGTTACATAACAGATTTGTTCCATGAGAAATGCATTATAAACTAGTGAAAAGGGAATGTGTTGAGAGTGTTAGTTGAGGATAGGTTTTTTTTTTTTTTTTTGTTTGTTTGTTGTTTTTGTATGGGGTCTTCACTATGCTTCCTAGGCTAGTCTTGAGCTGCTTAGTTCAAAGGATCCTCTTGCTTTATAGTTCTGTGAGTAGCTGGAACTACATGAATGGTACCATGTCCAACTGTGTTTTAAAAATAGCATTGTTGAACCTGGTGTGGTGGCACCTGCAATCCTAGCACAGAGAGGCAGTGGAATCTCTCTGTGTTCAAGGCCCATCTGATCTATAAGGCAAGTTCCAGGACAGCCAGGGCAACACAGAAAAACCCTGTCTTGAAAAACTAACAAACAAAACCCTCCAACAAAATACAAAATAAAACAAGAAAGCATTATTGAGATATAAAATATATTATTTCATTGTTGAAATATAAGGTATATTATTTAAAGTTCATCTCTTTATATTATACAAGCATATTTACAATGACACACTGCTTTAAAGCACTTTGTAGACACATGGTGTCTTCCAGTAACTTATGCTAATATAATCTTTTTAACCTTTTATCTTTTGTCTTTTGTATCAGACTGTATGAAATTAGTTGAGTCCCTAATCCCCTATTATGTATAAATAGGTAAGACTTTTGCTGTGCCACTAAGCAAATGGCCAAAGGAAGGTCTACCCTCCCCCTCCAGTTTTGGAGTATATGGAAGCATGTAGGCTAGGGAAAGATGAGAGAGTCTAAAAATGTCTAGACAAGAGGAAAGAGCTATACCAAGAGAAGGGTGCAGAGTGATGGATGAGAGGGAGAGAGCTGGCCTTGGTGGTAGTGATTTCTCCTTTGTTGCTGTGTGTTGCA